GGGGGCTGGCTCTGCACACAGCAGCCATCACAGCAGCTGAGAGGGAAGATGGGCTGCAAGAATTCTACCTCTCACCACTTTCCACAGTTGGAAGTTCCCATCAGCTGTACTGATCTAGAATTCAACTTCTCTTCCCTGAATTGTCTATAAATAGCCAACTGTGGAAAATCTTCTCCTAGCACATGCAGCAGCTCTTGTCTATTCCCCACAAATGCATTCTGCTGGAGAGACAGCTCTATCTTAATCTACTATGGTAACACCTCGTTTGGGAGTGATAATTGCCCCAGCCAGCCTCACGCTCTTCTCTTTTTTATCATGGACACAGATAAACTGCAGCAGCCAAAATTGCAAAACATAAAACAGCCAGTTTCTCCACTATAACATACCACAGGGAAAAAAAAAAATCACTAGGCTGTGTTCAAGACTGAACAGGAAAACTACTTTCTCTCTTTTTTGAGGCTCCTGCATCTCTACAGTAACTCTTGTCATGCCAGGCAAACAAATCAGCCTCTGCATCCCCAACCACCCAGCACCAAACCCAGGCCCTAGGATGATACCCTGCACTCTCTGGAGAACTCTTCCTCACTTCACTGCCCTGCACCTCATGGAAAACAATGTCATTGCAGCATTCCCACGTAACTTTAAGGAGACACCTTTTCTATTATATTTTAAAGGCATGTAAAAGCTTCATGCCTCGTTCACTATGGCTCCTCTCAGAAGAAAAGTGTTGAGGAGAATTTATGCACCTCATTAAGATCTTGTTTCCTGCTCTTCATGCTGCATCTTGCAGTTGTACTAGCAAATGATTTTCTCATAAAAAGCTGTGAGAAGAGGCCTCTCTTTATAATACAGATTCAGACACAGGAAAATTACATGACCTAAGGAAACATCCCCTTGTACACCAGCTCAAAGTTCTCAATGGCCTATTGCAAATTTGAATATCCACTGCTAAAAAAAACAAACCCAAACCAACCTGAAAAATCCACTTCCCTGTGCACATCTCTTTCTTCTGCGTGGGAGAGTTTCAGCTGCAGGTCTGCCTCAGAGCAACTCCATGCTCAGAAAGTCCAGGCAATAAGGAATTGCAAACTAAAAATCCCCACAAAACATGCATAGATCATCCAGACATCTGGCTCTGGAGAAAACAGATTTATATTTCTAGGCAGGGCTAGTAGCAAGCAAAACCAACAGGGTTTCATGGGATGTTTTAGCTTTCAATAGACAATTAAACTCCCACAAGATACTGTTTCAGCCCTTCTTGACCTCCATCAGCTGACTGGAACCCAGCATCACTAATACTGGCATTTGCCTGTATCAACAGGACCCATGAAACAAGTTATGAAAAGTGCCTTTACATCTGGCCCGAAAGCTGTGAAATGACATGGAATGAACTAAAGCTGCACCATTCAATGCTGCATCTCCTCAGGGAAAGGCTTCAGTGTGACTCCCTTCAGAATTTACTGTATTTTAAGTATAGATAAGGCCACAGTTTATTTTTGCAGAGCATCACGTTTTTCTACTACAACGGGCAGTACTGCCTCCTCTCAAGACTCTCCTGGGTTTAGCTGGTACAACTTGGCTTTAAGGGGTAGAAACAGAGGGTTCCCCAGGCTGCTGTCCATCATTACCCTTCCCTGCAGGGCTGACTTAGGAGAAAGAGCAAGATGAGCCCAGCAGGGATGACAGCACAAAGCTCAGGTTTCATGTTGCTCTGACTGTGTACTGTATCCACCTATCTACAAAGATTAGGAAATTGTATTCGTTCTGCACACCAAAAATGATGCTAATCATGACCACACTGAAAGGCAAGTTACATATAAGACAATCCGAAATTCTTAGCATCCAAAACAACAAAGTATTTTGTTTATCCTCCTACTGTAAATAAATGTAATCGACAGCGTCTACAGACAATTTAAAATGACCGCAAGCAGCCTGAGAAAAGCAGCCTACATATTAAAAAGCAGAGGCAGATATTCATCTGAAGATTCTCAGCTTGCAATTGCTGCAGTAGAGCAGATATTTTAACGGAGAAAGAAGCAGAAATGAGACGGGCTCTGTCAGTCTGTCCCACACTCCTCCCAAGGGTCCTGCCATATTCCCAGAGCAGCTGAGCGGCACATGATGAACATCACACCACACTTGACAAGAAACTAAATTTGTCCTTATTCAGATCAGTTCTGCTTCTGCTCACAAGTTCCTGAATATGCCATAAAAACCTGACACAAGCCCTGTTGCCTGGGGACACCACAGGCATCAGATCACCCGTGCACTCCAGAAGCGAGTGCATAGAAAGCTACAGCTGCAAACCTACGGCTCAGCGAGCAACTTAAAAAACCCCCACAAGCCTACATTATACACAAAACAATGCTAACTGGAGGATGGTTTCTCTACCTAATAGCTCCAGATGTAAGCTACTTTCAGCAGCTAATAGGATATGATGATCATTCTCAAACAGCTGAAAACAAACCATGCCCAACTCGCCCTGTAACCATTTCTTAAGATCGCTTTAAAGACTGCTGTGGCATCCATTAGCACACCAGTTCCTCAGTTATCACTACTACAGTTTTTAAAATGCAACAGGCAGGTTTCATCACCTTGTTTTCCTTATCCTTCCACCCTTCAAAACTGTGAAACCCAAATGCTAGGTGAGCTGCTGAGGATCATAGCACTGAAGCTGAAGAAAGGATGCTGGATTTTCTTGTTTCCAAACAAGCATCCTCCCCAGTGCCACATCACTCTCACTAGCTAAAGCAAAAAGCATGTGAGAAATAGAAAACGTGAGCAGATGGAGTGCCTGGAGGCCTTGTACAGAGTGATACACAAAAAACCACCACTGCACTCCATATCACACCACCTCATCAGTAATTTACTGAGCTTGCAAAAATTGCCTGTATTTTTTGCAAAGCACAAATAAACACAGAAAGCTCACTCGTTTCTTTTGTCAGCTACCTTGCAGAATAAACCCTCTGACATGTGTTGGCAAAATGAATTCTGGAAACATGTGGCTTCTCAGTCCCATGCAGTAGAGTTCTAATTATTTATTGTGAATATTAATTCATCCTTTACTGTTGAATAAAAGCTTCTACACATCCACAAAGCACTTTTTTTTTTTAAATGGGATGGATACCCCTGCAGATCTATGCCACTGAAATAGAAATACCACAGGCTATCTGGCAAATGCAACCTTCTCTCCTACAGACTTATTTCTGCTGCTTATGTGCACTCCTACTCTCTTTAAATGTCTTAGAACAAGCAATAATCAGAGATCTTAGCACTAATCTTCAGGCATACAGAGTAACCTCTGTACTTGCTGTGCTGAAATGCTCTGATGCACTTTTACAGCTTGAGCACCTCACAGCATCCTGACAAATCAAAAGCCAGCACACAGGATGGAGAAGGAAGGACGGTACAGAATGGGAGGTACATGTCTTGTCCCCGTGTCTGTCTCAAATGGCAGGTGTTGGGCACGGTCCTTCCACCTGCCCTGCAGAATTCAGCCCCACGGTCCCAGCCCTTGGACCATTTTCCACCACTCAAGTGTAACACTTGATTCCCTGCGCCATTCACCTTATGGGTCAGGGATGTGGCTCACCGGCCCCAGCGCCAGCTCTGCCCTCTCTTGGCCAGCTGGTTGAAGCTGGGGGCTACTGCTGGGACCTGGCTCCCATGTGGCTTCCTGCCACCCAGCAGAATGCTTGTGCGACCTCTGAGACATCAGGCATGTCCCTAGCCTTGGAGCCAAGCCAAGCTCCAGGGCCAGACAGCATCCCCAGGATTTATGCTGCATCCAGCATGCGGTCCTATTACAGCAACGCTGATAATGCAGGCCAGTATATCATGCAAAGGGATTAACAAAGGAAGAAAAAAAGATGCTAGGAACTCAATCTCTGCCTTTTTGTTAAGTACTCTTTATATAAAATACTCCCAGCTTTGGGAGAGTAGGCCATGGAAGCTGGAGAAGAGCTCAGCTGTTAACCAAGCAATCAATCTTCCCCTGCTTCTTCCCCAAACCCCAGGGCTCTGTCCTTCTCCAGTCTGTAACTGGAAGCCAGCTCTTGGCTTCAAATCTGGAGAAAAGCACCACTGTGAAAATGCAGCGTGAGTACCAAACTTATGTGTAGGATATACCACCGTTTTAATGGGTTTTTTTCCTATCTGCAGGAAAGGGGAGCAGGATGGCTCAGTTTGGTGTGGGACTGAAGAGCAAAAAGGAATTTCTCTCTTTGGCATTTCTGAAATGCCCATTAAGGCATCGTAAACGCTATAAGGCATTTAACAGGCACCTTAAATAGCACTGCTCCATCAAGTACTACCGCTTAAGAAAAGCTGCCTCCCCCATGCTGAGTGTGAAATTTACTTTAGGCAGGACACTCCCCCACTCCTCCCGAGAGCAGACAAAATGCTGCTTCTTTAAAACCACAGCTAAAAAGCATTTAACCAAGACCGGTGCTTTCGCTTGAATTTTGCTCCCTGACAGCAACTCAGGCTCATTTCCGTGCTCGCTCCTCTGTTGTAACCATTTTCTATCCTCGCAGCTATCCAGCAGACACAAGCCGCTTCCCCTGCGCGCAGCCGGCCGAACAGAAAGCATTCCCCACCTTTTAAACACGGCTGTGAGCAATGACACAAACCTGCCCACGCCGGGCTGCGTACGGCGAGCAGAAACAAACAAGCGCCAGACAAGCCTGGACGGGAGGAGAGAATCAGTTTCAAAGAGCTTTTAAACAGACAAGTCCACGGGGGAGAAGGAAATCAGTTTCAAGGAGCTTTTAACTTGTTGGACTGGGAGAGATTTGACGGGGAGCAATTAGGACTTTGTTTTTCCTGCTGGAAGAAAGTTTACGCTAGGAAGAGGGAGAGGGACACTTCGGTGAACAAAAACCTTCTCGGGGCTAGGGGTAAAACCCCAAGCCTACTGAGCCTAAGCAGGAGCCAGGGCATCACAAACCCAGCCCTCAGCGAGATGCACCGGGCGCGACCAAAGTTATTTAGTGCCGTACCTCGACTGGGCAGCCATCGCGGGGTTATCCTGCCAAGCGTCCTCTATCCATGAGCTCCGTCCGCAGCTGTCCAGGCTCTACCCCGCTGCCACAGAGCGCCGTCCCATGTGCCGGCCGCCTCCCGGTGCCGCCGCGCCGCGGCTCCCCCCGCCCGGGCGGCCGGCGCAGGGCTGGGGCTCGCTCATTTTGATCGACATCCGGGCGCCCGGCCCTCCCCCGCCCGCCGGCGGGGAGGGGGGCCCGCCCGGCTCCGAGGGACGGCCCCGCTCCGGCCTGTAGCAAGCGGTGCCGGGTGCTGCCGTGCTCCGGCGCCGCGGCTCCGCTCGCTGTCCCCGCGGTGCCCGGAGCAGCGGGACTTGCGGCAGTGCGGGCTCCGCGCCCGCCCCGCAGCCGCCTCCCCCTGCCCGGCCGAGCGCTCGTGGTACGGCCCGGCCTGTGCCCGTGCCCGGCGGGAGGGCCGTGCCTGCCCCGCTCCGCTCCTCAGGCGCTGCCGGCGGCCCCCGGGCCCAAAGGACACGGGCCGGGCCGAGCGGGGCTGCTCCGCCAGCCGGCCCCTGCCCTCCGCCACCGCCCCGAGGGTGCTCCCGCGGGGGCTGCTTGAGTTATTTTGCTCGAGTTATTTGCCGTTTTGGTTTTGTGGGTTTTTTCCCTTTTTTTTTTTTTTTTTTTTTTTTTTTTTTTTTTTTTTTTTTTTTTATTTTTTTTTTTTTTTTTTTTTTTTTTGTGTATGTATCCTAAAATCATGTCATTTGATGACAAGCACAGGTTCTTGGCTGCTTTTTTAAAAATATTTTTGGTTTTTTCCTTTTTTTTTTTTTTTTNAATTATTATTATTTGCATGGGAGGCTTTTGTTTTTAGAAAAACAGGATAAAACGGCGCACGTTTTTCAAAATTTCGGAAGTTTCCAAATCCTCGAAACGAGCACACAGCCCAGCTGCAGGCGCGCATCCCAGGTGTCCGCACAGATGCGGCAAAGGAAATCCTGAGCACGCTGCTAAAGCCAGAGTCGGAATTGCAGGCTAAGAAACCTTTGGGAAAAGGGTTGTTGAGTGCAGATGAAGCTGGTTATGCAATTTCTGCTGGGCTCTGGTCCTGGCCGCAGTCTGCAGACGCACTCGGAAAGCAGCAATACCTGTCCTTTGCTCTGGGGGTTTCTTGCAGCAATTATAGAAACAAACTATTCCTGCTACTGCTTTCAACTAGGAATTTACCAAGCGTTCAGCAGGCAAAAGACATGTATCCAACATGCCTTCAACTTTTCTCCGCAACTGTGTATGGCTAAGGTTTCTACCAACACTGCAACAATGTTATGTTCCTCCTACTTTTCTGGTTTAAAGCACAGCTTGTGTCAATGTACTTGGCAGATACCCGGGTTTGTACTTGATTGTTTTCCTATTCCAGATAACCTTTATGAAAATCTTGAGTCTGAGCTGTCTTCACAAAGATTAAATAAAATTCATATCAGTTCTTTTAGGTAGAACAAAAGATAATGGAAAAAAATATATTCTCTAGATTTTCCACAACAGCTGAGCTTTCTCCTGGAAAGAAAATTTGTTTGCTCTCACCTAAAGTTTCTAGCACTTTTCCACCTGCTCCCCTTCAAAAGCACTTGATTAAGTGCATCTGACAAATCAGTGTTTCTCCAAAGAAAACTTTCTGTCAGAATATGTCCTGTCACATGTCTACTCCTCCCTCATGGGTGTTTCCAAAATCAGCAGACTGTAGCTTTTCTCACCTGTTTCTATTCCCTGATCAGGGATACAAGTTTCTCCTCTTCCTCCTTTTTGTAAGATATATTGGAAAATGGAGGAAAACGTCCCCTTTAAGTAAAATGCAAACAAAACAAATCAATAAAAAAAGCCCTTTGCACTCTTCAGCTCATCATGAGCTCAGAAATGCACTACTGTCTTAGAAACCTAACAGGAAGAGCTTCCTACAGGTGACCATCATTCCAAATGGTATTTAAGCTGTATATAAGATTTAAGATCCATTCATATCTACCTGAGCATTGGATGAGAATGGAGTTCTCCAGAGATGAAGCTTGTGATTTAAACACCTCACAGAAAAGCAAATCCAACCAAAAAACAAAGAAAGATGTGGAGGAAGCCTGGATGCCATTGTTACTTAATTCTGAACTCCTGAAAAGGCCAGACTGCCAACCTCAGGCATCAGTGGTAAAGCACAGGCTATGGGTATATTACATTTCTTTGAAGTCCCCTCTCACCTGCCTATAGACCTACCTGTATCTGGACATGCTGACCAGAAGGATACTTCAACAACAACAACAACAAAAAAAGGACCCAGAAGTTTCAAGCATGAAGCAACATTATTTCCAGATCAGGTGAAGACAGTGATACATTGGCATAAAAATTACCTACAGCATCTACAGCAAGGCCTGTAGAAGGGAGATGGGTATCTCTCTGTTCACCACTATCAGTGCTGGCCATACCCCAGTGTTGGCTCAGGAAGGGGAATGCAGCATCCCTTAACTCCAGAAAAAAGTAGAACATGACATTATATTAATAAAGGGATAAAAATTCCTTAAGTTTGTGGGACAAATGCCGGAAGCTTGTGGCATTGTGAAACAATTAATCAAGAAAGTACCAATGAAGAAGGAACACATACCAAGCAATAGTAAAATCATTAGAATAAAAACACAGTCAGTAAGCTTCCCTGAAATATATTGGCTGAAAAATAAAACGTATTTGTTTATACACAGAAATAGGTCAGATTCATGCCCTTACCACGCTGTTCAAAACATCTCATTGCACTGCGCGGCATCAGGTTTTTAAACAGACACACCCCCTTACCTTCACTCTTCAAGAGTCTCCGCTGGCCTTTAATTAACATGTTCTCTCTGCTCTGTTGACAAGAAATCCATCTTACCGCTGCCATTTATTGCCACTGATGAGTCCTTCACATTTGGAGGTGAAAAGGGTCCAATGGATATTGTGTTTCCCAGCCTGAGGGAGCCGTGGGTGGCCTTTTCATTTGCAAAGGGCACTTCTGCACCAGGTCAGGAGGCGAGGACCGTGCTCTGTAAAGGCTCTGCTGCCGCAGCCCGGCAGAACAATCCCTGACCCCTGAGCCCCTGTGGCTGTCAGCGCCCTTCTGCCTTGCATCTCCCTGCTACTCTACAGAGAGCCAGAGGCTGCACATCTGCAGAGCTGCTTGTGTTCTGGCAATCCCAAACTACACGAACCTGCCAAAGGCTTGATTGTGTCTTTCCCCACCGGTAGGCAAGGAGCCAGCCACACTACAAACGCTGTAAAGCAAGGGCTACAACCATAATGCACAGAGTTTCAGGAGTTCTACATATTTGGGAGAGTTGGTTAATTTCATCCTCAAACTCCTGCCTCCAAAGTTGAGTTGGAAACTGAGCAAAACTCAGAAACCCATCCAGGCAAGAACACACTAAAACCAGTTCAACAAGGTAAATGAAGCTGTGAGAAATGATGAGTCTGAAGAAGGCTGAGGCAGCAAAAATCTCTGTTAACCCTGATTCAGCAAAGCACTTCCCTGTAGACTTGTTTTATTGCACCTCCTTAACCTTAGCACTTTCCAGAAGCAAAGCAGACTGCCAGGAGCACATCCTCACTGGGCAAATCCTGGAAAGCACTTGAATTTCAGTGGGTCTAACCCACACAGTGTAGCTACAGCGAGGTTAAAGGAGCTGCAGGGCAAAGGAAAGAAACAGCTGAGTACAACACTGCAAAACGGGGTAGGGAAGAATACAACCAAAAGGATATGATGACTTTAACAAAGAAGACTGACTTGGGTACAGTCTGTTATGCAAGTAATTGCAGATGTTAGGAATCAAACTTTTCAGAGAAGAGAGGAAAACAACCCTTCATATTTCAACATCTAAATTGAAGAAAACAGATTTTAAAAAGAAACCACCTTCTTGCAGGCACCAGACTGTACTAGAGGCTACACCCTACTAGCTTTTGGCAGCCAACTGGAGCAATTTCCATCATCTTACTTGGCAATACTCACTTATCACTCAGAATGCCTTAAAATGTTCCATAATGCCTATGAACTTTCACAAGTTAAGGTTCATTCCTTGCAGATGTATTGCCAAAAAAAAGAAGTTAGATGTACTTTAGAGAGTGATAGCAAGTGGTATGAGGGTAGAACACACTGGCAGCTGTAAAGATCTAAATGAGAAACAAATGGAAACTGCATAAAAATTATCCTTGGTGGGATTGGGAAGGGACAGAATAATAAATTTTCCAAGTTATATGTGTCTGAAGCCCTCATTGTCCAAACTTCCAAAGAATTGTTCCTGCAAGCACTGTACCCTAAGCAAATCTGTGTGAGGGTCTCACTGAGACCCAGTGTCCAGCACTGATAATTTCTAACAGATTGAAGTTACAAAAGACATCAATTGTTTGGTAAAAGACAGCACGTTAGATTTAAAACTCCTCCCACTCAGCAGTTAGGATTCTTGCACTGAGGAGGGGATTATTTTGTTTAAACCACCTCGACATTTGTCACAGCACCTGGGAAGCCAAGATTTCAACAAATTAATTCCTAGTTATTGCCACTGTTCTGCATGTCTGTAAATTTCATTATGAAGGCTCAATTTGGGTCAGCTTCTCTAGAAGAGAAAAAGCAGATATTCAATGTCTCTTTTACAAAAGAGCAACACATTGTACACGATAGATGCCACCCAAGCTTTGCTTCAACAATCAAAAAGGTCAACCCAAAACATACTTCCTTGGAGTCAACAGTGGGAAAAAGAGAAAGTCAAGCAAGCAGACATGAAAAATCTTCAGTTTTCAAGGCAGCAAGTCATTCCAGTAATTGCTACAGTGAACAAAAAATGAAATCTAAACATTAATTTCCTCCTTCAATGTGTGTCTGTGGGTGCACACTCTGCATTTAGTTTGTGTGTGTTACATCTGAAATCTTCATTTTAAATTAACTCTCCAAAACAATTTTGTACTGCAAAATTAAAATATAGAATACTCGCCCCCAACACTCCTACGCAGATTTTCAGATTTGTGTGAATCCCTAGATTCTCCCTAGCAGTCCAAATCATCATTCAGTTATGGTTATGTTCAGTGAAATACTACACAACTGGAATTTTAGGTGGAACCTA